CGAAGACGCGCTTGCCGCAGGGCACCATGCGGTACCACTTGTCGTGCAGCAGGTCCATGAAACCGGCTGATTTGTAGCGACTGATGAACTCTGACAGCTTGGAGGTCAGCGGTGAGTGTTGGGGGAGGCCGATGCCGTAGCCTGGCCCCCATAGCAGGGGGGAAAGAGGCAGCGCTGGGACTGGGGCTCACCCCCCCCCAGTACCCAGGGATCCCCCCGCAGCCGCAGCGCTGTGCACCTGCCCACCTTCAATGGCAAAAGGCTTCCCTACGGTGAGCAGCTTGCAGTCGGAGTCGATGGACACCTCGTAGTCCAGCAGGGACTTATCCATGATGAAGGCGTTGAGCTTGGGGGGTTCCGTCCTGCGTCAATGCGGGGGGTTCAGGGGGGGGCCGCTCCCCCGGGCTCGGGGTGTGCAGACAGAGGGGAACAGGAGGGTCCCCTCCTCCCCCCCCCCGTGCTCCTGACCCTCACTTGAGCATGGTGACACCGGCGGGGGTGGTGGGGGCATTGTAACGCCTCATGTGCCCGTGCATTTCGGGGAAGCTCTTCTTGATGTACTCCTCGGCACTGCTCTCCCATACGGTGCCAAAGCGGAAACCCTGCGAGGGGTGGTGCAGCTGGAAGGGGCACCACGGTGTCAGAACCCCCCCACGGGTCGAGGGCACCGGGCAGGAGGGGCTGGGAACCCCCAGTGAAGCAGCAGCTCCTACAAGGCGTCCGGTAAGGACATCCCCAAGGGCAGCCACAGGGCAAACCCAGCCCCGTCCTGCCCCTCCCACCCCCATGAGGCAGCCAAGCAGAGCTCTCACCTTGGGGTCGTGGATGCCCGAGAGCTCCTCGAAGGTCTTCTCGCCCACCATGACGGCCGCCAGGTTGGCCGTGTAGCTGGAGAGCACCAGGAGGCAGAAGATGGCCCAGAGGTTCATGAGGAAGCGGCCGGTGCAGCACTTGGGCGTCTTGCTGGAGACGGTGCGCCCAAAGAGGATGGCGTAGCAGAGGTTGAGGGCTGAGGAGTAGGAGAAGATCTTCATGCGGTTGCGGCCGTGGGGGGTCATTCCGTAGGGGCTCTTCCACTCGTAAAGGGTGAGGAAGAGTGCGGTCATGTGCAGGGCCACGAAGATGCCCACCCACGTGGTCCAGTGCAGGGGCCACATGAAGGCCCCGATGGGCGACGCCGTGTCCTTGGTCCTCACCAGGATGCCCAGGCTGGTGGAGAAGAAGGGGCTGGTGAAGTCGATGACTTTGCTGCGTGCTGAATTGATGCTGAAGGAGGTGACGGCCATGTGGGCCGTGCCGCTGAGCAGGTCCCCCACCAGCCCCGTCCAGCGCCCGTTCTTCCACGCTCCGTATTTCCCATCGCCCACAATGTAGAGCTCGAAGTCAAAGGGCACGTCCTCGGCCAGCCGCTCCAGCAGGTCGATGCAGTACCCGTAGCAGCACTTCTTGTACTCCCGCGGCACAGAGCCGTTCTCAGCGCTCAGCTCCTCAAAGAGAGCATCCAGCACGGCCGAGTCATTGGTGCCGGGGTCCAGGCAGAGCTGCCCGGCGGGGCAGCTCCCATCCTCATCCACCTCTCGTGTGAAGACGAAGGGATGCTCCACCAGCGTCACCACCCGCAGCCGCGCACGAGTGCCGCCGTTCCCTTCTGGGGGTGCTTTGCGCTGGAGGTGGCTCTGCCACGCGCCCTCCTCCAGCTGCAGCTTGCCGTGCTGCCACGTGCCCACTGTCACCCAGGCAGGCCGTCCCTGCAGGTCGCGCTGAAGGCTCCACACGCGGTACTGCTGCTCCGTCTGCACCCGCGTCCCGTCCTGCACCCGCACCAACCCCGTCCGCCCGTGGAAAGATGTGTTGGATAGGAACCTGTGGGGAGCAGGGGGTCACGGAGGGGTCTTTGCTGGGGAGGGTAGGGCAGGGGGATGGGGGAGCAGCAGCGTGGTGCTCACCGGGTCAGGAAGCGCCCTGAGGACTCAGCGCTGTCCCCGCTGTGGTCGTTGCAGTTCACCATGGGGGGGTTGAGCGCGAGGTCGGGACGCACAGCGGCAGCACTGCTGATGGCACGGCTCACCAACTCCACTGCGTCACGCACAAAGGCCTCCAGCGGTGCAGCGCCCACCTCCCCAAAGGCCAGCAGCCCCCCGGGCAGCCCCTCACCCTGCAACTCGGCGGCGTGCAGCGGGGAGCCCAGCACCCAGCAAACCTCCTGCGCCCGCAGCCCCGCACGCTCCGCCGCCCTGAAGAGCCGCCGTGCGCGCCGCAAGTCGCAGCCCAGCACCAACGTGGGGCCGGAGAGGGCTCCCAGGTGCTCCTGGTGCTGCCGGAGGCACCGCTCAGCCCTGGGCTCATGCAGGCAGCGGAGATCCAGCACAGTGTGCAGGGAGAGCTGTGCACGGTCGAGGAAGGCGGTGACATCCCAGGGGCGGCACAGCACCAGCGTGGCCTCGCGCCACTCGTGGGCCTGCAGGATGCTCACCAGCACCTCTGCCAACGTCTCCAGCGAGCTCTGCCGGTCCATGTGGAAGTGGAAGGGGCTCTGCGGGCACACAGGACAGCAGGTGACCCTCTGCTGTTTGTCCCACCTCCCTCCCAGCTCCGCTCCCCAGCAGCAGCGTGGACTGAGGCCGTGGCTCCCCCCACCTCCCCGCTGCTGATGCAGCACTGCAGGCATGCAGAGCCCATGAATGTGGTGCAGTGCTGAGGAGCAGCGCCCAGTGCCTGCGCTGGAGGGTGGGGGCTGCCAGCACCGTGGGCTGTGTGTGGCCCCCAGCCCCATGCAGGCACTGCGAGGACGCAGCCAGCACACAGCCACTGCATGCTGGGACATGGAGTCACCTTCCCAGCAATGGAGCAGAGCTGTGGCTGAGCCCTACAACAGGTGAAGGGAGCCCAAATGCTCCTGAGGCTACGAAAGGGATAACGGCCTCAAGTGGAAGGGATCTGACTGCAGAGGGGAGGCGGCTAAGGGAAGGGAGGGGAACAAATCCACTCCCGGGACACAGGGTTGGGGCTCTGCTCATCTGGCATGGGAGAGCATGGACATCACACGTCCTAGGCTATCTTGGGCTGAGAAGTGGGATTGGGCTGGGACAAAGCTGTGATGGAGCCTGGGAAAGAGCCAGGACAAGGGTGGGATGGGGTCCGGGATGAAGCTCTAATTGACCCCTCCAGGATGGGAACCACGATGGAGTTGGGACAGAGACGAGATGAGAGCAGGATAAGGGTGGAGATTGGGGCTGGGATGGGGTCTGGAATGGAGCCGGGACGGGGACAGAGGTAGGCAGGGATAGGGGTGGAATGGAGCCGGGATGATGGTGGAGAGGAGCCGGGACGGGATTAGAAAGGAGAAGGAGTGCGTGGCCGGGACGGAGCGCACCGAGTTCGGGGACGGGCACTCACCTGAGAGCGGAACGGCGGAGCGCGGCCGCTGCCGACGACGCTGACGAAGGGAACGCGCAGAGCCGCGGCGAAGAAGTCGATCTGGAGCAGCTCGCGGCGGGATCGCGGCACGGCCAGCACCGCCGCCACGCCTCGCCCCAGCAGAGCCCCGCACAGCCACCGCAACAGCGAGGCCGGATCCCGCGCCGCCGGACGGCCCGCCACCACCTCCAGGCTGCGGTTGTACGGCAGCACCGCCCCGGGACCCCCACCGGACAGAGCGGCGCGGACGGGGCCGGTGGAGGCGGAGGGCAGCAGCGCTCCCAGACGCACGGCGGGGCCGGGCCGGCTCGGACCGCGGCAGGGATGCGGGTGTCCCCCCGCAGCCCCCAGCGCGGCCGCCAGCAGCCACAGCGCCCGCAGCCCCTCCATGGGGCCCCGCGCTGCGCCCGTCGGGCCGGGACGGGGCGGGACGGGGCGGGCCGGGGGCGGGGGCAGCTCCGTTCGGCGGGGCGGGACGGGACGGAGCGGGAGCGGCCCCGCAGCTCCGAGCGCGGTTGGGGGGAGCGGAGCCGCCGGGAGGCCTCTCGAGCCCCGCCCGCCCCGCAGCGCCCGGGTGGAGACGCGCATCCCCCGGAATCGGATGGAGGAGACCCCCGGGCCCCCCCACGGCCATCCTGGAGCCGTCGCGGGGCAAAGAGGAGACCCCGAAAATGAGGCGCGGTGCGGTGCGGTGCGAGGATCGCTCGATGCCAGAACGCTGCGCTGCCGGGGAGGTGGGGAGGGAGAGGCTGCACTACATTAATAAGGAAAAGAAAACCGAACGAGAAAGCCAAGGAGCAGCTGGCAAAAAAATATTGATCATCAGACAAATGTAATGAGTCAGAGCTAATGAGTTCCTTTAGCGGAGATCAGCGCGGGGGAGGGAGCTGGGACAGCCCTGGCAAAGAGCGGCCCCGCAGCTCCCGACCCCCGTGTGAGGGGCCGATGTGGCAGAGGGAGCAGAGGGAGGCTCGGAACGGAGCTGCGCTCGAAGCAATGCAGCCCCGGGGCGGTTGGGGGCCGTCCCCGCAAAGGCCGGGCTCTGCGCGCTGCTCCGCGCTGCAGTTGATCGACGTCGATCCCAAATGTCATAAGGGAAGGAGTGAGGGAGGGAGAGAAAAAGAGAAATGTGGCTTATTAAGCTAAAAGCATTATCTAAACGAGTTGGCATTGGAGCGAGCTGCACGGCCGCTTGTGTTATTGAAGTGCATTTGAAAGCAGTTGTGGTGTGCCGGGGCAAATGGGGACAGCTGTGCCCTGAGATCCCGCACACGGTGCCCCTGCTCCAGCCCCAAAAAGCCCCCGGGGGCTGCAGGGCAAAGCGGTGGGAGGAGGGCAGCAGGTTCACCACTGCCAACTGCTGCTCCTTGCTGCAATGTGAGCCCTCTGCCACAGCATCCTGCGCTCCAGGAGCACAGATCCGGGGCACGTGGATGTTTGGGGGCTTCTGGAGGCTCAGGGAGGGAGCTCGGGGGGGAGGATGGCTCAATGGCTCCGAAGGAATGAGAACTCCCCTCCCTGCTGGCAGCATTGAGTATGCAACGGCAAGTGACTGGGAGGGTGGAGGAGGAGTCAAGAGAAACCTCGGGCACCTTTCACTATAAAAAACAAATCTTTTATGTAAAAAATAAACCTAAAGAAAACCCACAACACCCCCACTGCCATGCTAGTGACAATACAAAAGGCTGATTTCCCCAGAACACCGTGGAAAACAAAATAGCTGGATCCAAATATATATAAATTGTCAACGTACGAGATCGGAAATAGCACCATGCTTCCCCTGCCCAGACACACACAGAGCCCCCCGAGGGGCGCAGGGCCCACAGCTTCAGGCTCAGTGCCCCCACTGATGGCTGGGGGTGCCCAAGAGAGGGCAGGAGCTGCACAGCCCCCGCTGCATGGGAGCAAAACCGAGCCCCAAACGGGGTCGGGGATGCAAAGGGTCCAGTGAGCAGCATCTCCCAGCCAGGGGTGGGCAGAAGGTGTCTCTAAAATCCAATCTCAAACTGGCATTCAGAGAGGTGAAAAAACCCAATTTTCTGTCTGCGCCGCAGGGTCGTGTAACAAAAAGAAACAATAAAAAGGCCAGGGGAAGAGAGAGGAGAAGAGCAGGAGCCGCATCCTGAAGGGCAGCGCAGGCGGGGACGCTCTGCCCGCAGTTGTCTGCGCTGCAGCTGCACTGCTCAGCCCCATCCCTGCGCCATCCTGCAGGCAGCCAGCTGGGACCACACGCAGCCCCACGGCCCCCGTGCCCCATCTCAGTCCTGTGTGGTCAAAGGGAGGCCAGAGGGAGTGGGCAAACGCTCCTTGGTGTGTTACGTGGCCTGACAGGCGCTGGTGAGGATGCGAGCCACACGTGTTTGCCCGTCTGCGTGCGCCCACGGGCTGGCTGTTCTTCCCCAGGAGCTGGGCAGAGAGAGGCAGAGGGGCGGGGGGAGGGCTGGGGGCTGCCTCCTCATTTGGCTGGCTTGGTGATGATGCGAGCGGAGAAGTCAAAGAGGTTCTTGTTGATTTTCCGGAGGGTGCTCACCTCCTCTTCCAGCTCGCTCACCTGGATGGTCAGATGTTCCTGGTCTCCCATCAGGTTCTGTGGTAGAAAAATGCGACAGAAGAAAGTCAAGGACCTGGGGCTCAGCTCTAGCAAGCTGAGGTTGGCGCTCACCAGGACAGCGGCCCATCCCAAACCATTCCATCCCCTCCCTTCTTCATCTCCCCTCCAAAAGCTGCGGTCCCTCCGACACCATCAGAGGATTCCAGGATTTGTTCCCCCATCCCAGCTCTGCACAGCGCCCTGAGGAACAGCTCTGCTGCCACAGGAGCCCTGGAAGAATCTGTCTGAGGACAAAGTACCTCTCCATCCCTTTTTCCCCCCAGAGCAGCTCTCACCTTTTCTCTCGTTGAGCACATCTGAGAGTACATCTTCTCAGCCTTCTCTAGATAGCTCTCCCCAGACTCCTGCAAGGACCAGATGGAAACCATTGATACAGAGGACCTGGGCCCTCCCCCAGCAGCCCCAGCACAGGGCACACTGTGGTGGAAGGTGAAGATGTCCCCTGTCCCCTCCACTCAGCAAAGCAAAAAGGAAGCAGTGCCATGGGTACGGCCAACATCCTTCGTAGCAGGGGAGCAGGGCTGCAATCCCTCTCCAAAACAGAAAAAGCCTGTGCTTGGGGAGGGGTCCCAAAAAAGTCCCCTGAGGGTGCCAATGCAGGGGTCTGACAGCAGAGGAAGCCTGGAGGACGGCACAAGGCTCTGGGTTTATTATATTACTGCTGCTCCCCCCAGCACCATGCTGCTGGCATGCTGACATCAGAAATCAGCTCCAGCCCCTCTGCTGAGCTGCAGGCAAACAGTCCCTCCTGGTTGGGCTGACACCGCACTGCATGGAGCTCATCCATCAGCAGGGACAGTGCTGTCACTTCTCCCAGGGACAGATGCTGACAGAGGAGGGAAAAGCTCTGGGGCTGCTGGCAAACAGGACAGGGACAGACAGACTGGGATGGCAGTGAGCCTGTGAGCATTCGTGGCACAGGACAGTCCCTGTGCCTGGGGGTGGCCAGGCTGGGGCTCAGCACTGACATACAGCAGAGAGAGCCCATATCACAGCACCAGGCAGGGAGGACAAATGACTGCACCAGCCAGGACTGCAAGGGGAGCACAAAGGGAGGGAGAATGGATTTCACTGCATTGGAGAATGGACTTTATGGAGTGGGGGAAAAGCCTCTGGTTTGAAAGAAAGAAGGAGGGAAGGAGGGAAGGAGGGAAGGAAGGAAGGAGGGAAGGAGGGAAGGAGGGAAGGAGGGAAGGAGGGAAGGAGGGAAGGAGGGAAGGAGGGAAGGAGGGAAGGAGGGAAGGAGGGAAGGAGGGAAGGAGGGAAGGAGGGAAGGAGGGAAGGAGGGAAGGAGGGAAGGAGGGAAGGAGGGAAGGAGGGAAGGAGGGAAGGAGGCATGGAGGGAAGGAGGCATGGAGGGAAGGAGGCATGGAGGGAAGGAGGCATGGAGGGAAGGAGGCATGGAGGGAAGGAGGGAAGGAGGGAAGGAGGGAAGGAGGGAAGGAGAAAAAAGAGGATGCTCAGTAGAGGATCTCAGCATGCAGGACTCAGTGCAGCAGAGCTCCAGCTCCTCCATGCCACCACAGCTGGCACAGGGGTGGCCTCCAGGGGATGCAGCCAGAGCCCTGCAGTGCCTCAGACCTGGAGTGACTCTCCTGCAGCCAAGAGCAGCCTAGGGGCCGCTGAGAGCAGGGGCAGTGCCTGGCAGAAGGACTTGAGCTCCATCAGGGCAGTCCAACAGCTTTAGGAAACAGAACCGGGGGGAGCTGAGCAGCATCAGGACAGGCAGAGAGAGGAGAGAGGAAAGGGAAGCACTCATGGGACACAGTTCTGTGCAGGGATGAGCCCACACTTTCCCAGGAGCTGGGAATGCTCCAGTCAGCTCAGGCCTTGTGAGCCCTATCCTTTGCCTCACTCTGAGCCATCGAGCCACCATCCTACCAGCCCCAGACCCACTGCAGGAACCCTCACTGCCCTCTGTGCATTACTCCACAAACAAGAAGGGCACCAGGTCCTTCCCCAGCGGCACAAGGGGAGCTCACCAGACCCCAAGGAGCTGCAGACATCAAGCTGGGGGAGAATCCTGCATCCCCCCCATGCAAACCCTCCCCCCAATGCCTTCCTCCTGCCCAGTACCTGCTGGTGCAGCCCGAGGCGCAGCGTCACTCCCTCGCTGCCCTGCTCATCAGTGCTTTCAGTGCCATAGAGGTGCTTGCTGAATTTAGGAAGAGGCACGCTGGGTTTCCCATCTGGGTTGAGCATGTTGGCTGGAGCCAGCACTATGAAGGCGTTCGTAACCGGACCTGGGGGGCAGGGGGAGGGATGACAGAGAGGTGAGGATGGGTCACTTCTCTATCCCCCCCCCAGCATGTTTCTTGGGCAGAACAAACACAGCTGGAGGAGTAGATGGCAGCTGCAGGAGCCAGGACCTGTTCACCCCCCAGCACAGTGGGACAGCACAGCTCTCAGCCCCAGGGACACACTGTATCCCCCCCAAAACGATCCACCCATCCTCTGCAGCATCAGCCATCCGTCAGCCCCTGCGGCTCACGCTGCTGCCTCCTGGTAATGATCCATCACATGCACTCGTTTGGCAGAGCTAACGAGCGCTTTAATTACTACATTTACCCACACAGGCTGCTGCTTTCTGTCAGCAGCCCCCTCCGCCCCCCGCTGCGAGCTCACACTCAAATTCCCACTGCTCCCCATATCCCTGCATTGGCTGCAGGACCTCCGGCCCCTGTGGCTCTCAGCCCCCCCCCCTCCCCCCCCCCCCCCCAGCTCGTGTGTGAATGGAGCTCCAGCACTGCTCATAAATCCTGGCCATCCATCTTCCCCACCTCAACTCGACCGCACAAAGGGAAAGGTTAAAAGGATCCAGATGCACCTGAGCGAAGGCAGGCTGCCACCACAGGCACAGAAAGCTGCACAGCAGGGAAGAAGCCCAGGCCTGGGGGCTGGAGCAGCCCGATGCTCTGGGTCTGTGCTAAGGAAGCACCTCTGAAGTGGAAAGATCAGCAGCCCAAGTGAGAGCAGAGATGGCCCCAAAGCTCAGCCCTCCTTGCACACTGGGTCCTGGCCCACAAACCAATGCTCTGCCACACACTGTCCAGAAGGTGCTCAGCCAGGAGTCCCAGGCTGCCCTCTGCAGCTGCTCCTTGCCAACGCTTTGCTGGAACAAACCACTGCTCCCTCCCTAAAAAAGAAGCTTGCTGCTGGTAATGAAAACAGCCATTAGTGAGATTACCACCTCTGGCTCACCGGGGGTTATTTGGAAGAAGGGAGCAAGAAAGGCGCAGGGATAAGATCTCAGAACTAGCTCATGAGCCCCCAGATCTGGTCACCACTAAGGCACAGACCCTTCCAGCAGAGCCAGCCCAGCTCACCCCCTCCAACCCAATCAGCAGGGACGGCTCAGCACTGGGCAGTGAGTAATGTCCTGCCAGCATGGGACTGAGGGAGAATAAATAACCCAGCTCCAAGGCGGGTGCCAGCAGGATGGACTCAGATGGAGCACACCCACACTGCCTCGTTTGAGCCAGTCCTCAGAGACAGCCTGTGTCACCAAGAACAGCGCTGGCACGACGAGGGAACTGAGGTCCAGTGAGCTCTGGGGGCAGGGCTCCCACCACGGCCCACTGGCTCAGAGGTGTGCAGGCTCCCTGTGCAGCAGTACCTGTGCACACAGTGGCAGATGCTCTGCAGAGGCAGAGAGCAGCCCTTGGCCCAGCAGTCACAGCTCATTACCAGCAGCAGCACAGCTCCTCAGTGCCCGTCTCTCTTCCTGCGCTCTGCCCTAGCCAAGGACAAGCAAACCTTGGAGAAGCCCCCTGCATCCTTCCTGCCAGCACAGCCACGCTCCTCTCCAGCCCTGAGCCACGTCCAGTTCCTCTCATCTATTTCCAGCACCGTCATGTGGGGAGGCCACTGGTTTCTCCTTTGCCTGCAGCTGCCTCCTTTGCCCCTGTGAGCAGAAGGACGTCATTGTCCAGAGCACAGCAGGCCGGGGGTGGCTGTCATGTCAGCTGAGGCAGAGAAGCCCATGTCAGCTTCTCCTCGCAAAGGGAACTTGCTGGAGGGGCAGCAGAGCAGCAGCATGGAACAGACCTTGCCAGGAGGGCTGCGCTGCAGCTTGGAGAGGCAGAGGGGAAGGCAAAGGGGAGAACACAGCCCAGGAGCAGGAAGCCCACTGCTGGGACAACTCCAGGAGAGAGGCAGCTTCAGGGACAGAGGAGTCCCACATTCCTGATGCAGGAAAGCAAAGGAGAACTGGTGGGGTGCCGGGTCCCAGCACAGAGCCCCTGTTCCTGTGCTCCCCACAGTACAGCTCCTGCATTACATCCCACTGCCACGCTACTCCCACGCTCAGATGGAACATCCAGGCATCAGCGGGGTGGTAATGGTGCCAGCACTGCTGGGGATGCCCACTCCCAGCCTGTAGGAAGAAGCCAGTCTGCAGAGGATGCAAAAAGCCCTTCGCCTTCCACCCTTAGCACCCAGCAGCACGGCGCTGCAGGGCCTTGTGTCTGACTTTGCTCCCTTGCAGGCTTGAGGAGGGTTTTAATGTTCGGCTTGCAGTGAAAGTTTGGCCACCTCTCCTCTGATGACTCACACAGCTCAAGTTTTGCCTGCTTTCTCTCCTACTGCTACTAGCAGGGCAAGGCTGGATGGCTGCTGCAGCAGGTCCTTGGCAGAAAAGCAGAAGGAAAGAAGGAATGGGTCTGCACACAGCCTGGATCTCACCGCCTGCAACACGAGGGCTAAATCACCCACTGCTCTGAGGCACCTCACTGGCAAGCTTTGGTCTGTGTGGTTTATTGGAGCCATTTGCCTGAAATCCCAGCCTGCTGATATCGGATTCTATTCAGACCTAATGAGCTCATGGGTGCCCGCTGCTGGGGCCAAGGTTTCTCCTTCAGACACGTTCTCCCCCTCTTGTTTCCTTCTCAAGTGCTCAGGTGTGTCTGGGAGAACTGCTCCCTTTGGAAAACAAGATCCTGGACTTCCTCAACGGCTGGGTGAAATCTGTGACTCACTTTCTGACAGTGCACAGAGAGCTTGTTAACAGACGTGGGCAAGGTCAAAACCCCACTCCAGACAGCTAAGGCATCCCTTTAATGCCTCTGCCCTTCCCGAGAGGGTGAAATAAGCAGCATAGAAATGCCTGAATCGCCGAGGGCAGCGTCAGAGCAAAACAGCAGCAGCTTTTAACAGACAAGGAGGAAAGGATCGTGGAGATAAGGGCATGCCTACCTTTGTGATTCATCGTCTTCAGGCACTGCTTGCTCTGGATGTCCCATAGCCGCACCGTTTCATCATGTGAGCCAGAAAGCAACAGGCTGCCATCCGTGGAGACGGACAGACACGTCACCTGGTTCCTGGAATGGGGAAGGGATGTTTAAACTCAGCATGACCCAAGGTCTGCCAGAAACCAGTGAGGTGGGCAGTGAAATAGGTGGCAGGTATGTCTGGTATCTCACCTGTGCCCTTTGAAGATCTTCCCATTCTCCCGCTCTGTCTGGAAGGTCCGGTCTCTCTGGACTGGCTGCAGAAGTGGAGGATGGAAGGAAGAGTGAGAGGGGATTGAGTTCAGCAAGACTGAAGGCAGCAGATTCATCGGTGTGTCTGGACAGGGCAGAGGAGGTGCAGGGGAACACAGGGGTTCCCTGACAGATCACACTGTCACACAGGAAGGAGGTGGCAGTGGCTCACAGTACCACACAATGGCAGCGCCAAGCAGCCCTGCAGCCCCCAGCACTCACCCAGGCACAGAGGTCAACCTGGAATATGGATCCATCCATGCCACCGCAGAACATGTGATACTCTGAGAGGTCCAGGGTAACAGCCATGATCCCCACATCAAACAGGACTGAAAGCAGGAGCTCCCCGGATGAGATTTCCCACAGCTGGAATAAGACAATGCAGGAGAATTAGGGGCTTAAACATTCACTGCTTGACTGGAAGAACACGCTGCTGCTTACCAGCACTGACATGCCCAGCAGGAAGCTGGCAGCACGGAGCAGCACCCCATCCCACTGTGGATGGGGAAACTGAGGCACAAGCTGGCCTGCCCTGGGTTACTTGCTAAATTCCACACTAACCAAGACAGAATCCAAATGAGTCTCTGGAGGCCTTGAGCTTCCTGACCTTCCTGTACCCATCTCATCTCCCAGGGTGGATCCCTCCCAGCTCCAGCTCTGGAGTTGGTTGTGCCTAAAGGAGCCAGCTCTGTGTTCCACGTCCTTCCAGATGGAAGGGACAGCAGCAAAGGGAGATGAGAGGAAACGATCCCCACACCCTCCAGGGACAATAGAGATGACAAAGCATGAGGAGCCCTGGTCTGAGGGCAGGAGCAGAGAAACCGCTGGTGTTTGGAGAGGCAAAACTCATTAGGGCTGGCAGCTCTGACTCATCACAGAGGCAGCCAAAAAACTGAGCGACTGCAACCCGCACGGACAGCTCTGCAGAAATTCAGCTTTAACCCTCTGGGGCGTGCACACCTCTGGGACACTTCTTTGTGCAGACTGATCCAAGCCTTACCTTTGCTGTCTGGTCAAGGGACGCGGTGGCAGCTCGTGCCAAAGGTCCTCCAAAGCCACAGCACATGTCTGTGATGGGGAGGCTGTGTCGGGACCACACGTGGCGAGGGTCTGGGATCTGGGAGGGCTCTGCCTGTAGAACACTGGAGGGGAGAGAACACAGAAAAGGGTCAGCAGTGCTGGGGATGCCAAAGTAAAGCGGCTGTGAGGAAGAGCTGGTGCGTGTAGGAATCGAGCTGAAGGCAGAAGTCTGTCAGCAGCCACAGCACAAGAAGAGAGGGCACCAGAGAGATCCCCCACCCCAGGGGACAGAGCACTCAGCTGCCATTGCCTGGGGAAGGGCACAACCCCCCCTTTAAAAGGAGAAAGGCAGTCAGAGGGATATGCTGCGATAGGGTAACACTGGAACAACTTGCCTAAGGAAGGCACAGACTCATCACCACTAGTAAGCTTTAAGGACAGCTTAGAGATGGAGGCTTAAGCAGAGCCGATCCTGCCTCCAGGATGTGGTGGCTGATCTCATGCTGCATTCCTTGCCCAGATGCTCTCTGCTCACAGAAGAAGCAGACCAAGATGTCCTTGGGGCCACTGTTACCTGTACAAGTTCCACACCAGCGCCAGGCAGTCCTTTGCCCCCGAGAGAAAGTGGCTGCTGTCATCAGTGAAGCAGAGGCATGTGAGGTCCTGGTAGTGTCGGTTCAGGATGGCCAGGAGGTTTCCATTGGAGACCTGAGGAAAGGGCAGGAGAACACTCAGCAAGGAGTAAACACAGCAAGAAGCAGTTTGAGCAGGTCTTGCCCACGGTGGCTCTGGAATCCAGTGACAGCACTGCAGTTTCTCTGGTCAAGCACGCAGTAAAGATTTCCTGTTTATTGTTAGCATTGCTCTGATGGCTTCCTCCAACCTCCCGTGGCATCTCAGCGCTCAGTTTGAAGGCACGCGACGGCTGCAGGGGTTACAAAGCCACAGAGGGCTGCTGCATTCCAGCCAGGGTGAGTGCTCTCAGACCAAGAGGACCTCCAGCGTGGACAAAGAGTTCCCTAAACTCAGAGCTTTTCTTATTAGAAGGCAACGCTGCTGATAGGAAGGGAGTTAAGGAGGTGGCGAGGGAGCACCATAGAAAAGAACAGAATCAACTCCCTCTCATCGTCTGAATTATACCTAAAAATAAAAGCAAACTGTGAATCAACAGTGAACAATTTCTGCAGAGCAAGGTGGGTAACTGGGGCTCTTGGATCCCATTTCCAGCTCTATGATGGTTTGCATGAGGCCTCTCCAATGCGTGCCTGTTTGCTCTGCCATCACCCACTGCTGCCAGCTGCTCCGAAACGCTGCCAAGGCAAGGCTAACTGGAAGCAAGGAGAAAGGACCACGCTTTGCAGATGAAGCAGAGCAGAAACCAGCTCAGAGCATCACAAGCAAGCAACTCCCACTTGCTGCAGTCTCAGCCCCAGCGTTCCTTGATGAATTAAGATAGAGCCACCCACGTAATAAGGCTCAAAACCATTCCCCCAAGACTGAGAGGTTTACAGGTTAGACATATTGGTCTTTAACTCTGGGGCAAGGAACAAGCTGTGTTCTTTTATTCACTTGGTGAAGCTCTTAGAATACAGCGTAATCCCACGTAAACACCACCACTAATTGAAAATAGGGTGATGACCAGAGTGCATCAACCTGCAGGGACATCCAGCTCACAAGTCACATACAAACATCAGGCCAGTATGGGATGCTAAATGAACACCGAGTCTTGGTTTCTGCACTGAGGAAGCAACACCCGAGCCCACAACACCAAGCATCTGTAGCAGCTCCAAAACAAAAAGGCCTAAACCTCACCCAGCCTCTTCCAGCAACATTCATCTCCCACCCTGCTATGACAAGCTGCTGGGCAGCCAGCCCCAGCGTGGATCTGTAATGTGTGTGACCCAGAGAAGCCTCAACTCCACTGTGCAGCACAGCTGTTATGGATCTACTCACACCTGACAGCACAGGGCAGTCACTATCCACAGAGGATGCAAACCTCTATATTCCCATTCTTTTCAGCCCTTATTAATCCATTATGGATCTAAACACAAACCTCCTTCTCTCCATGACTGCTGGGATTTTTCACTTCCCTCGGATCCAAATCACTTTAACCTACACGGGGGTCTCACTGATTTATAGGAACCTTCAAACTGACGCTTCATCCGTGCACAGTTCTGAAGCCAGAAAGAAAAGCACCAACAAGATGCCAAAAGATGACCACAAATAACTGCAAAGCCTTCTGGCAAATGTGAGGAGTCAGACCCCAGGCCCAGAAAGGCGAGGGAGGAAGCACCGTGCTGGAAAACCCTCAGCATGGGTGTCATGCAGACCCATTCCTGTGCCTCGAGGGGCTGTGAGCTCAGCAGCTCCACACTGAGCCCTGCATGGGCAGGGTGTGTTCCTCACCTCCCACAGGTAGATGCTCTCAGCAACACCAGCCAGGATGTAGAGCCCGTTGGGAGAAGCTGTTAGGCAGGTCACCGGTCCGGGGCAAATGATCTTCTGCTGGAGCTGGTCCTGGAAACACAAAAAAAACCAGCAGCCATTTAGTATGAAGGGGAATTTGGGGAGGAAAAGAGAAAGCAGAGTGTGGTTCAGCTCAAACTGCAACACAGAAGAGGCAGTGGAGAAGTGAAGTCTCTAAGATTGCACAAATCCCACTTGATTGCATTTTGCTTTGTGTTTAAGCCCACAGTGAAAAGGTAAATTCCCCTTCTTCCCATCTGCATCCGCACAACTCCAACCATAGGCAGCAAGCGCCAAAGGTAAGATAAAATTCTGTGATAAGGGAATCCTGGAGATTCAGCAGAAGACAAGCTAGAATTACACCAAAATAATATGAATTGAAAAAGAAAGAAAGAAAAAGAAAAGATGATGATCTGAGCTCACAGCCTGGGAGGACAAATAAAAAGCTCTGATATCAGCTCTTGGTTTGGGGGAGCTGAAGCAGGCAGGAACAAACTCCGAGCTGCAGCAAGGAAGGGGCTGTGTGTGCACTCAAACTCATGGGCTGCTGCTGCTCCCTGCAGCAAAACAGAAGGGAATGACAAGAAACAGAAGGAGAGAGCTGCTGCTGGGCAAAGGGTTTGTGCTGCTGTCCTGTCCCAGGATAACAGGGTGGTCCTGTAGGGATGGGGGAGCAGTGAGGGGTTGGTCTGTCACTCCAGGTGTGAGCCTGCAGATTTCCCATTTTCAGTAACATAAAGAGAACAGGATGGGGGTTTTGAGGCAGAGGTTTTCTCCATAATTCCTCTAACAAATCCTCCCAGACTGGAGAAGACCATCAGGGCCCCATGGGGTTCAGTGTGGGGACCCCACAGCGTGGGGGCACAGAGCCCAGCAGTGCTGCTGCCCCATGGTGGGCACAGTGTGGGGCTCCCAGCAGTATCCACTCGATGCAGGGACAGGTGGGACAATGCTGCATTTGGGGAAGGGAACCCTACAATTAATTCCTTTTTGAGAACAGTTGTTTTATAGCAATGTGTGGGGATCTCCCATGAAAGGGAGCTCCAGGCTCTCCCCAAGAACTGGGGGGAGGTGGGGGGAATCCAGTGCTAAACAGCACTATGTGGGGGCTTTGTGGGGTGCAGGGGGGGCCCAGGAACCTGATCAGGATGGGGGACTGTAAGGAAGAGCGGGGGGATCTGACCATGGGACGTCTGTACAGAGAATACAGAGCAGGAATGGAGATGGAGGTCCTTCTGGAGGGCTCCCACCACAGAGCTGGGGGAGCTCTGCAGAAGGGGGGGCCTAGAGAGAAACCCAGAGTCCATATGAAGATCCCTGCCGACAGGAGGGCCCTGGGGACATCTCAGTATGGGGCCGGGGGGGCTCTAAGGAGGGGGCGTCTGACCATAGAGGTGGCAGAGGTCTACGGATAGAGGGAAGCCGGGCGGGCTCAGCGCAGGGTGAGACTCCTTCGGAGGGGTTCCTCGGGTCGCCCCCCCACCGCTCTCCCCACGCCCTCCGCCGCCGGTACCTTCCTCTGCAGCTCCCACACGTTGATGTAGCTCTTGCCCAGCTGGGCTCCCAGCAGGTGTTCGCCTCCCAGCAGCGCCAACCCGCGCGGTCCGGTGTTCCCACCGCGATAACCGGGCAAGGCGGAACCCGAATGCAGCTCCCAAACCGAGCAGTTACAAAGCGGCCCGGCGGCGTCCGACACCAACGCCACCTCCATGGGCGCCGCCATCTTCGCGGTCCGCCAGGGCCAGAGAGAGCGCGGCTCGCGCACAGAGCGCCGCCCTTCCGCCGCGGCGCCCAATCAAAAGCGGCACCGCCGGCTGGGCGGGGCCAGGTGGGCCGGAAGTTCAGCGGGGTGCGGCGTGGTCAGAGTGTCGGTGGGTGAGCGCAGGGTGCCTCATGGGGTCCTATAGGGACCATAGGGCACAGGGACCGCTGGCACCGTTCACCCCATCGGTTTCCTATGTGAACCCCTTGGGACCCCCCCCCCCAGCCTCGCGGAGAGGACACAAACTTCACACAACCATTTATTTTTTAATTATCATTTTTTTTTTTTTTTTTAATATTTCATCAACTTTACAGGGTTACAATTGTCTTAAATATTCTGCAGCTTAAATACAATCTGTATAATAATGTTATTATAAAATGTAAACTTTCAGTGTTTTTATTTTCTCTTTTTTTTTTTTAATTTTTTTTATTATTATTTTTATTTTTTTTATTTTTATTTTTTTAATAATCAAAAGTTTCAATACCTGAACGTTTGCAAAACTGAAATATTCAGCCGGACGTGGGACGGAGCGCCCACAGCCGCTGCTCTCAGAGGTAGAAATGTGGTTTTATCTTTGTCTTTTTTTTTTTTTTTTTTGTCTTTTTTCTTTTTTTGGTCTTTTGTGTTTTTTCTTTTTCTTTTTCTTTCCTTTTTCGTTTTCTTTTTCTTTTTTTTTTTTCCATTTTTACCTGAGTTAAGATGTGCCCGCTGGATGAATGTCTGCAGCCGTTCCCCCTTCCTTTTCCTTTCCAAACCCCAGAGAAACTTTTTTTTTAATTAATCTTTTTCTTAATTGATATGCATAAGAGAAATAAAGCAGGAGGCGACACGCGCTCTCTCCAAAAAAAGAGGGGGGGTGAAGATAATTAGAACCCCAAATCCCAGTGGCTGTATACACATGAAACTCTGCAGCTCTAAAAGTGCCCAACCCTGGGGGGCGGGAGGGGGGCTGGGATGGACCCTCAGAGTGCAGCTCTGCAGGGTGCCATGCAGCCAAAGGGCACTGCCAGCTTTCTTTGGGGGGGGGGGGGGGATGCTCCCTCCCCACCAGCAAAAAGGGGCTGGAAAACCCCCCCAGTCCCCTGAGTTTGCCACGTCCCCATCTCAAGGCTGGGGGTGTGGAGACACCCGTGCTGCCGGAAGGGGGGGTAGGGGGGGGTCCATGCAGGGTTGGGGGCGAACCCTGTGCTCCCATCAGAACCTGAGGAATTGAGATACCGCGGGGGGGGGGAGGGAAGGGGGTCGGCATCGGGACGCGATTGTGTGTCACGCAGATGTGCATGGGGGGGAAATGGGGGGATGGGGAAGGGGGGGGGGAGGAGAGGAACTGCTGGGAAGTGGCCACGAGGGGAAGGAACGCTGCAACCCGCGTGGGTAAAGCAGGGTAAACGGCAGCGCTGGGGTGTCGGGGATCGCTTTGGGAACGGCATCGTGCACAAACAGGAGCAGCGTTTGCCGCGGTGCCGTTCGGAACAGCACAGATCTGCGACAGCATCCCGAACCACGCTGTGCACAAAGCCGATCCGGAGGGAAATCTGCCATGGCATCGTGCACCGACGTGACCTGAACGTCACCCAGAATTGCATCATGCACAGAGCCCAGCCGGGCAGCGCCTTGCACCCTTCCACATCGTATGAGGGCACCGCCTCTGAGCTTTTGGCTTTAAAGCAGTGGTTTGGGGAGCACAAGCGATGCCTCCGGACTGGGAGGGATGCTGAGATCCCTCCTGGTCCCCCCCTAAACTGCGTGGGTGAGGGTGCTGCTGTGGCAGAAGCGATGCCCAGGGCACAGGGAGCAGCAGGGAACAGATTTTGTCCCTGGAGCTGCAGCAGTGCTGACACCACCCAATTTTCCTGATTCCTCCCGGCACCACGCAAACAAAACGCCCGTCCCATCACCAACAGAACCAGTTTGCTGCTGGAAGCGTGAATAGCAGATCGGGTGTCACCTCGCCCTGGGTGCTGGGGAGGGGGGAAAATGTGCCCAAACTGGATCTGCACAGTAGTATCGCCTTACAGGGGAGGGGAGAAAAAGAAATCAAGCACAGAAAGAAAAACCACCTGACAATGTAGGAGAGAGCTGGGGACGAGGGAACACGGGGATGCATGGCACATGTTAGCAGCCAGAGCACCCCTGAGCACTGCCTGTCCCTGGGGGCTGCTGCAGGACCCCCCTGCTGCACCCATCCCATCCCTGAGCACTGCTTTTCTGCACTGAGAACTAAAGCCGGGAGCTGGAGGCGTGCAGCACACACTGCGCCCTCCGTGGTCCCCAGTGCCACTGCAGCCCTGAGCTCACAGCACTTCCCAGAGCCTCGGGTACACCTGGGAGGAGAAGAAAAAGGAGGTGATGGGTTCCCCAGCTCCTGCTTCCCTGACAACGTCCATATATATCATTTGCATGTTAAAAGTTTGATTCTTTTTTTTTTTTCTTCTTCTTCTTTTCTTTTTAGAGAATAAAATAGAAGCTATTTACAACAAAAACAATCAAACAACAACCTCTGAAAATCCCATAGAGTAAGTGTAGTTCTCAAAATAGAGGAGGGGAGGGGGGAAGAAAAAGGATCTAATGAATAAAATATCTCCCGATTTCCAACTTTTTTTTTTTTTTTTTTTTTATCTTTTTGTTTTGTTTTGCTTTGTTGTTTCGTGTTTTTTTTTTTTTTCCTTTAACGAGTGCCAGGAGGTTTCATTAAAGCTCGCGTTGGCAGGCGTCCGTACGTCTGTCTGGAGGTAACACGAGTTAAAAAATAATAATAATAATAATAAATGTACAGTGCAAAGTGTGATGTGTGTGAGGTAAACAGGTTGAGGGGGGGGAGGGGGGGGGCGGCACCGGGTAGACCCTGAAGGAAAACCTCGAGGCTGAGCCCCCCCTTAACCCCCACCCCACCCCACCCCCCCCCCCGGCATTGCCCTGGCCCACCTGCAGCCCCCGGCACCTCGGGGTGGTTTTGGCTGTGTGTAGGGATGGGGGGGCGTTAAGGCGAAGCGTTGTTGGAGGTAGAGCTGGGGGGGGGCACAGGCACGGCGGGGGGAGCAGCGGGGGGGACGCTGCCCATGCTGCTCCCACTGCCCCCCGTCGCGCTGCTGTTGGTGCCTTTGTCGCCGCCGCTGCCGCGGCTGCCGCCGTTGCCTTTGCTGTAGGAGGAGGAGGACGAGGAGGAGGAGGAGGAAGGGCCGGGCGTCTGGGCGAACAGCACACCTGGGGGGAGAGCAGCGTTGGGCAGGGGGGACCCGGCACATCCCTCTGCAGGTGACAATGGGAGTGATGCCACGCTGGGACGGTGGCAAAAGCACCGCGCCGTGCCCTACCTGTGTAGACGATACCGTTGATCTCAACCGACATGCTGATGCTGTTGGTGCCGTTGTTGGCTGTGCTGCTGGAGGTGTCCTGGCGGTTCTCTGCGGGGGAGAGCGGAGGTGATGGACCCCTCCGAGGTCCCCGTGCCCCGATCCCACCCTGAACCCCACACCGTGGCACCCACCTGGCGAGCGCGTGCCCTGGCTGTTGATGCGGATGCTCATGGGCAGCTGTGCTGTCATGGCCAGGAGGTTTTGCTGCAGGGCACGCTGCATCAGCCGCTGCTGCTCGTCTGTCACCAGTGCCATTTTCTTCTCCGGGGGTTCCCCTGATTCCAGCTTCTCCCGCAGCTGCTCCAGTGCCACGGCCTGGGCTGCTGCTGCCACCTGCACGGCTGCAGCTTGAGCTGCCACCACTGGGTGTCCGGCCAGCGACACCGGCAGCCGGCTGGGCATGGAGATGGGGATGGGTGCGTCCTCCTCTGTGGGGCAGAGAGTGGGTCAGCCCCCCACCTACACTGCTTCAGACCCCGCCACCAGGAGCTGCTGCCTATTGGAGTGGGGTAGGGTGACTGCAGCCCCAAACCAATGCAGATGGGGGGTAAATGGACACAGAGCAGCCCTGCGGAGAGGACATGGGGGTGTTGGTGGATGAAAAGCTGGACACGAGCTGATGGTACGTGCCCCCAGCTCAGAAAGCCTACAGCACCCAGCACCCAGCCCATGCAGGGGTCAGAGCTGGGTGACCACCACGGTCCCTCCCAGCCCAATCACTCTATGACCCAGTGCAGTGGTCTCCAAAAGCCCCAGGCCCTCAGGGGAACCCAACTTGCTCAGGGAGGAAGCAGTGCCAGCGGTGCCATCAGCACATAGCAGCTCTTACCTTTCTTGATCTTCTGGACGGGAGCGATGGCACCGCCGTTGGTGGCTGAGGCCAACCCCAGGGCTGGCACCGGCAGCTTGGGTGAGGAGAGGAGCCCATGGGTGCCACCAGGTGAGTAGGTGAAGAGCGAGCTGCCAAATCCCTGCCGGCGGCCCTCCCTTCGGTTGCTGTCAATGGCCGCCTGCAGCTCGTTGGGGTTGCTCAGGCCCCGCTTCTCACATTCATAGGGGTACAGGTACTTCATGTACCTGTGGAATGATGCAGTGAGACACAGCACGGCCCCATCCCCACCCGGTGTCCCCAAATTCCCCCCCCCGTGCCCCCCTGGTGCTCACTGGGTGCGGAGCGTGAAGGCCGCGCTGGTGATGGAGGTGGGCAGGTTGAGCCCCTTGGTGATCTCTCGCCACAGCTTCTTGTTGATGACCTCCACCAGGCCTCCCTTCTCCGTCACCAGCATGTAGAGCATGTACAGATCCAGCACCTGCTTGGCCATGATGGGGATCCGGTTCACGGGGGTCCCTGGGGAGGGCAGAGAGTGGGCAGGGGTGTGCAGGTAGGCAGAGGAAAAGGGGGGTCCTGCTGCTGCCTCTCCCTTCCCCTACCACTCTACTTCCTTCTGTGAGCACCCCCACTTCATCTTGCTCAGCACCATGGAGGAAAAAGAAACTCGAAAGGGGCCGGCCGTGGTTTGCAAGCAGAGGCAGCTGCACCCAGCAACAGCAGATATTTATAACAGCAGCCACGGGGTGAGGGTCGTGCTGTGCTCAGGCTGCATGCAATTGGGGCCCCCCAGTCCCAGCAAGAAGGGAACACGGCTGGAGATGCAGAGAGTCAACAGGAATCACCCAGACCTGAGCTGGAAGGGGCTCGTGGAGCACCCTGTGGGGCAGAGCTGAACCTGGGGGTGCTGGAAGGGCCATGCACACACACACACACGCTTCCCCAAATGCCTTTTTAGACAGAAGGCTGCATGCACTCACACAACAACGTTTCCAGTGCTGGACCCCGGCTCCAGCAGTGCTGAGCAGCCCCAGCTGTGGGTCCCTGCACTGGTTCTCCCCAGCCTGGTGCCGGGAGGTGGCAGCAGCTGACGTGGCCGCACACAGCACCACGCTGAGCTCCTCTCTCCATTCCAGCACCAGAGCCCTCCTGCCCCCTCCCAGGACACTGCCCACCACACACAGCCCTGCAGCTGCCCCGATGGGAGCAGGGTGCTGTTTTGGAGCATGGTTGAGCACCGGTGCAACCAGCAGGGGCTGCATGCCCACCTGCTGCCCTCGTACCACCCCGGGGCAGAGCTGTGTGCTGGATACCAAGCAGGAGGCAGCTTTACATCAGGCCAAAAACTGCAGGAGGATGAAGCAGGAGTCACAGCTACACCCAGACCTCGCCTGCAGCACGGAGCTGTGCGTGTGTACGCTCCTATGCACAGATATTTGACATTCTCCTTTCGAATACCACAGGTCAACATTTTCCAGACGCTGCCGGTGAGGTGGGTGCCCCGTTGAGAACAGAGCTGGGCTTTGGATTGGGGCTGCTCTGGACTCACCGTAACCCGGGGATGGGGCAGCACAGGGGGAGGCTGAGGGCAAAACCACCCTGAAGGGGATGGAGCCGATGAAATCAGCCCCGTGGGGCCAGCACTGGGGCAGGAATCACAGCGCCGAGCTCATGGCGCGGATTCCAGCAGAGCAGGTTTGACCCCGGTTTGCAACGAGGTTAAAAATTAACTACCAGTCTGGCCGGAGCATTAACCTTGGGTTACAATGACACGAGAGAAAATAAAACCCATGGACAGAGCGGGGTGGGGGTGGGCAGGGAGGGGGCTCACCTCGCTTCTGCATGAAGCTGAAGAGGTCGTCCAGGAACTCCTTCCTCCGGGGGTCACCGTCCAACTCATACAGCTGTGCAACAAGAGGACAACGCTGCACACACCTCACCAGGCAGCCCCGTGTCTCCCCAAACCCACCCCCAGGGATCCCCCCCCGATCCCACAAGCAGCAGATGGGGTCTGTGGTCACAGTGTGCAGCACAGTGAGGGCAGCTGTGCCCAGCGGCACTGAGAGCGGGCGCCAGCCCCCTGACCCAGCTCCCAGCAGTGCACTGACCCAAAGCCCCCATGGGGCAATCAGAGATCTCTATGGGGTACCACGCAGCAGTCGTCCCCCCCCCCAGGCATTGCAGGGATCCATTGCATGGAGCTGTCGGGTCCCAAAATCCCTGCAGCTTAGGGCAGGCATGCTCTGCTCTGCATTGCAGCTGCAGATCCATTGGGGGTAGTGGGCACCAGGGCAAAGCAGGACAGCCCCATAGGGAGCAGTGCTGCCTTCCCTGCCTTGACCCATCCTTGTCACCATGCCAAGGCTCTGGCAGGCAGCTCCCAGGTGGCAGAAGGGAGGGCAGCCCTGCAGTGGACGCATCAATTCTCAGAAAACTCCACTCGGTGGGAGCCAGGTGCAAAATGATACGAGGCAGCCATGCATGAGGCCGTGCCACAGCCAAGACAAGAGCGAGCGCAGGCGTTTGTCGTGCTCAGGTCCCGGCCCCGAAACCACGGCGCTGCCCCCAGCTTGGCCCGGAGGCTGAGCGACTGCAATCAGCCCTGGGATCCTCCCAGCAAAACAGGGATCCTGGTTATTTTTAGCAATCCAGCACGCTCTTGGCACAGAGTGGAGCAATGCTTTGGTGTGATCCCTCCTCCACACCTGCAGTGCCCGAGGGAGCCGGAGCCGGGCTGCAGGGTGTGTGGGGTGCATGCCGTGGTGAGAGCTCGTGTGCAACTGCTTCAATGTGCTCAGGGAGCACCCAGGGGTCCGGCCCCAAAAACGATGGCAGTGAGGAAAGTGCTTGGGACCCATGGGATGGGGTTACACTGGGATGAGGAACCTGGAGCCGCCCCGTGCCCTACTGCTTCCAGCATCTCCAGAGCTTGCTCCCATTTCAACAAGCAGCAAATCTGCCATAGGAGAGCGGTGCTGGGAGTGGCTGTCCCCTGGCATGCTGGCAGCCTGTGTTCCTGTGAAAGCATTTCCCAGGAATGGTGCTTGGAGCAAACTTGAGACCGATGGGGCCGGTGCGGTTCATTGCACCCCGCGCCCACTGAGCGTCCGCAGCTGGGAAATGTTTTTATGAGCCAGGACAGGAAGATCTGTGCACAGACGCTCCTGAAGCACCCGTTCCTGCTGGGGCCAGCTTTTGTCTTGGGACCCCACCCTTTGTTTGACAGCCCGACACATTCCTGCCCTGATTTATGGCAGCAGATCTGCAGAGCAAATCACGCCCTCCGCACGCACGCCTCGCTCCGACGCCGCACCGCAGCCCTGTGCCATGAGAGAGGAATGGGGCTGGGGGGGGGGACAACAGCTCCTGGCCGTGTGGGGGTGGATGCTGCACCTCCAGCCCTTCCTCCCCCCCCCTCCCTTCCACCCTCCAGCCTGCTTTTCTCAAGGACAATTTTGAACAACTGCAGGCTGTGGGGAGGGGGCTATAAATACGAGTGTGTCACGCTGCAAGCACGCACCATGAGGTTAACTGGGTAACCAATACTGGCATGCACGGACCTGGTGTCACCGAGAAGGGACAAGGATGACCCCCTTACCCTACCCCCCCCCCTAAATCCCCACCCCAGGAGGGTCCCCGTGGGGCCGAATTCCTCCTCCGCCGACGCCGATCAAAGGGATCAATGGGGCTGAGCCGATAACAGGGAAGGGCACTACAGGAAAGCCATAAACCTGCAGTTCCCCTGGAAACCTTGCAAAAGCTCGACCAGCCCCTGAGCAAACAGCCCAGGCGAGGTCAGGAGCCATCGTTACCGCTGACCCTTTTGCAGCCCCCAGGAGCCCTAAGGCAGCACCGGGCGATGCTCAGGATGCGGCCGGCGTGGCGTTGGGCAGAGGCTGCTCCCGATCAGCTGAAGGATGCTGGGCCTGCGCCAAGCCAGCCTGCCCCGTTTCCTCGAGCGCTCAGAAAGCCGCACGCAGACGGAGGGAGGAGGAAGGGCTTCCCCGGTGCTGCTGCTGAGCACCTCGAGCCCATGGATCCACGCGTGGGGTGAGCCGGTGCCCCCTGCGCCCTGCTAACAGGGACAAGAGGACGAGAGCTGTGCCCTGTGGCTGCATCTGAGCGCGCTGGGAACGCTGCGCTGAGCTCAGGGCACGGCACTGCCCCTCGTTTTGCCTTTCCCGTGGAGATGATGGGAGGTTGAAGCTGTGTGAGGTTTGGGAGTGGTGCAGGGCTCTGGGTGCTGCCGGCAGCTGCTTCCCCACCTCATCCATGCCCCAGCACTGAGGGGAACCTGAGCCTGTGGGGACCCAAAGCTGCAGAGCACTGAGCCCCACTGCCAGCGTGCGCCCTCCGTATCTCAGACAAAGGAACGGAGGAGGTGGGACGGAGGCGGCCAAGGCTTTCTCAGCAGAGCCAGCTGATTAAACACAAATCCAGGGAGGCAGAGGGGGAGGCTGGGAAAACATCGCCCTGCTGCTCGGCTCTGCTGGAGCGGGGGAGGAAAAAAGGAAATGCAAAGGAACAAAAGTGCTGGGAAGGGGCCACATCGAGTGCCTGGTGCCCATGGGGCAGCATCCAAACCCAGCACACGGCACAGCTGTCCCAGAGCAGCGCCCAGCATGAGGGTCACATGCAGCCTATTAACCTGCAGAGCTCTAGCCATTGATTAGCCATTTATTAAAGCATCATCTCATTCAACTTTTATAAAGGCAGCTCTTAAATAAAGTTTCCTGGGGTCTCTCCTCAGGCTGCTGGGCTGCACTGGGATGCACCAAATCCATGTTTGGCTTTGGGAAGAGATGAGCACTGCCAGGAACAGCCCAGGACCTCCAGCGAGGCGCTGGTGGCTCGCATGGGAGCCCCCCACACCCTGGCCAGGTGCCCCCTGGCCTAGGGGTTCAATCCCAAAGGAAACCTTGGACATCCGCATTTAAGAGGATGAAAGAAAATTAACCATCAGCTGAGGAAAACGTGCATCTGCTCAGCTGCAGGGGATTAGTGGAGCAGGGAGGGCTGCCCGGCCGCGTGCGCCGATCGTTACGTGCACCTTTGATCCGTGGGTTCTCGGCGGGGAAAGTGCTGACAGGGCTGAGCTCTGGCGATCCTGTGCCAAAGTCCTGCAGTGGGGCGGATGCTGCTGGCCTGTGCTCACCCAAATGCTGGTGTGAAGCCATGCGGGATGCTCAGCAGCGTCCGTGCGCAGCCCTGGCCACGCTGCCCTGAGCCTCAGCGCTCCCAGCACAGCGCTGGGGGGACCCAGGGGGCACCATGGAGCACAGGCAGAGACGTGGAACCATCGAATCACAGAGCCATTAAGGAAAAGAGCTCCACGACCATCCAGTCCATTCCTTGGCCCCTCGCAGGATTTCCTTGCATTGACGGCATCTCGTTTTGCCCCAGACACCTCTGACCACACGCACCCATCCCCTCCTCTCGGCACACAGCGATAGGAGCTAAAATAAACCAGGAGGAACTGAAACTCGTTCTCATCTCAGCAACGTGTGAAACCGTGCACCGGCCGGACCGAGAGCAGCAGGTGCGACGGTGCAGTGAGTGCCAGCATGGTGCACTGCGAGCCGGGGCCACTCTGAGCCTATAGATTTACATCTCATCATTAGGGAGGTGGAAATGGCTTAATCTGTCACACAGCTGCCCCCACGATATCCTCTTAGAGCAGAGCCACCCCCAGGACACCGGGGATGAAGGTGCCCACGCCTCAGCTCCTCCAGCCCATGAGTGGTGCCTGGTGTCACCATCATTGTCGCCGCGCTCTGGGCGCATCGTGGTGCCGTGTGGCTGTTTGTTGTTTCCTGGGCAGGAAGAGTGCTGAGCTTCAGCCTGCAGGATGCTGGCACGGTGTAGATGGCCAGATCAACCCTTCAAACCAGATTACATGAAAATCCTGACCTGCTAGCTTCCAAAGGGCTCATGGAAAGCAGCCTCTCGGCAATGCCAGGAATGCCGGAGAGCGGCAGCAGCGGCAGGGGAAGCGCCGGGCTGTGCCAAGATAACGAACGCATTGGGAGGCCTCACTGTGAGCACCCATGGCAATTAAAGCCAGGAAGCGGCTGTTAACGAGGCTGCTGGTAATGAGGCCCCTGCGGGATCTGTGCCGATCTCACCAGGCTCGCTCTGCCACAGTGCCAGGACCCGAGCTGCAAACGCCACAGCGCTGCGGTTCTGAGTTTCCAAGCCCCAGGGAATCATTTCCACGGCCTTTTTTTCCCACCATCAAGCAGGTTCCACACTCACTGCTTTCCTCCTTTCTCTTCCCAGCTCATTGTGACGTGCAGGCTGCATGCTGGTAAGGGAAACCTCCCCCCCCCCCCCCAGGGTGCCCTGAAATCCCCACCAGCAATGGGCCGAGCGCTATGGGGAATAAAGCGGTCAGGACTGCTGTTTAGGGAGAAAAAAACACAAATAAAGCACGATGCAGGAGCTTTCTGGGAACAGAGGGAAACCCAGCGGCCACCAGCCTGCTCCGTGCAGCAGCAGCAGAACTGAGCACACTGTGATGTGTTTCAGCATGGCTGGCGTGACTGAGGGCTTTGCTCTGCCCTTCTCCTTCCCTTCTGCCGAGAGCAGAGGGGCGAAGCAGGGGGCAGCTCAGCTGCCAGGAGGTGTTACATGGATAGTATACACTTGGAGAGGGCTTTCCCTGCAGCTCCTAACTGGGCTGCATGTGAGGACCCCCACCCACCCCTTGCCATCCCCCAGTGTTGCCCCTGTCCCACTGCACACCATCGGCCCTGCGCTGCTCACACCGGTGCCTGGTTTCGGGGCACAGCGCTGGTGGGGGTTGGGGAGGTGGAATTCTTTAGAAAAAGAAAGTCATTAGTAAAAACCAGAGTTCTGGTGACGAGTCCTGAAATAAAACGTTTCGGATGACGCTGCTCCAACATGGTTTCCCGTAAAGCTGTGCTGCTGCTTTGGGGCACCCGGTGCCCGC